GGTACTGGGGGGTGGATTTGAACCCAGGTCTCTGAGAGCCTAGCCCGACACTCTGATGCAGAGGAGCCTTGCAGCTCGTGCCTTCCAGAGTGTTTTCCTTGTGTCCTTGAGGTGGTGAACGAGCCCCAGGAGAGCCGGGGTGGGGCGGGGGTCTCTTGCCCAGGGGCTGGGGGAGGGGCTTGCTCTCCCTTTGCTGGACCCTCCTGATCTGTCCCTCCCTTGTGTCTCCTCAGGACAAAAGGCTGCGGATCTTTGACCCTCGTGCCGGGCCTGCCGCCTGCCAGGTATTTGCTAAGTAGGGAAATCACAGAATCGTGGAGTTCCAAGGGACCTCTGGGGTCATCTAGTCCAACCCCCTGCACAGGGCAGGAAATTCACAAGTACCTCCACACAGACACACACACACGCACACACACTCCCAGTGACCCCTGCGCCATGCCCAGAAGATGACCAAAAAATTCCTCCAGGATCTCCAGCCAATCTGGCCTGGGGGGAAATTGCTTCCTGTGACCCCAAAGGGGGGAGGGTGCCTTCCTGTGGGGCCCGGGCTGCCGCCCTGCCATCACTCTACGTCTGGGCATTGGGAGCCCTGATCCCCTGCTTCTCTGCTAGGCGGCTGAGGGGCCTCCTCGTGTGTAGTCTCGGCACAGGCAGTGGTTGTGTTGGCTGCAGAGGGCAGGACCTGCCCAGCTGTGTGGATTCACTGCTTCCTGGCACTGCCCCGTCGGCCATGGGGAAAGGGGGGGGGATGAGTGGTTTCTGGGGCCCCACGCCTATGGAAAAGCCCTGGTGGCCTCCCCTTGTGGGGGGTGGGGTGTTATACCATTGTGCGGTGGGATGCCCACTTTCTCTGGATCCTGCAGGGGTCAAGGAGGGTGTAAGAGGAGGGTGGCCCCGAAGTCCTCTCCTTTACCAGTGGCAGCTGGCATGGCTGTGGGGGGCAGGCAAAAGCCGGTGGGAGGGGGACCACTTTGGCTGCCGGGGGCGGGAGGGAAGCGTCCTCTTTTCTCCCTCGTTTCTTCTTTTCTTCTGTTCGTTATTCACTTAAAACATTTATTAGTCCCCTTTCTCCTGCAAGGCATTTCAGGCAGCCGACACAATATTTTATTAATTGTTTTGTGGCCCGCCCTTAATTAATTGTTTTGTGGCCCGCCCTCCACCACACAGCAAGCTCAGGGCGGGTGACACAACGTTCTTAAAACACGCAGAAAAGAACAGCACACTCCTTAAAACCTATCGGTTATTAACACTACTAATACACGAAGCGTCGAGTGGCGTCCAGCCCATCACGGAATGAGTCGGTCCGGTTGTGTGTTGCTGTAGATGGAACAGGGCAAGGTGAGTGGGTGGGAGAGGAAAGAGCTGTGATGGATTAAAGCAAAGCAGCTAAGGAGTAGCGGGAGAGGCCCTCGTTGTGACTCCGCCTCAGTCACAGGCCTGGCGGAACGTCTCCGGTGTGCAGGCCCTGCGGAACTGCATTAGGTCCTTCAGGGCCCGGATATCACTAGGGATGAGTGTTCCACCAAGCACACACACACCCCTCCCGTAGAAATTTCCCTACCCAGTGCTTTCCCCAGAATTTATGGCAAACTAGAGGATGAGTTTGACCCTGGCTCTGGCCGAGCCTAGGTGGACGTTCTTTGGGCTGGTGAATCACCAGTAAGTGTTGATCAGAGGAGCGCAAGGCCCTCCAGGGGATGGATTGGGAGAGATGGTCCTGTAGCAGGCCCGTAGCTACGTTGGGGCTTTGGGGGGCTCCGTTCCCATTCTTGAAGGCACAGCCCCACAAGAGTTTCTCCTGTAAATGCTTGTTTCAATCATTTTAAAACTTTTTTTTTAAAGGTGTGCGCTCCTTTAAGCAGAGTGGGGTGCTGTAGTTGACTAATTCCCACACTGAACAAGGGGGTTGGAGTAGGTGACCTCTAGAATCCCTTCTAACTGTCTCAAGAAACTGGTCTCCTTTAGGAGAGTTTTTCTGCCCAGGTGTTCGCTTTTCTTGACTACAGAAGTCCTCACCCCCCCCCCCCACCTGCCGGCTTGTTCTCAGAATTGTTGCTTAGGCTGGCAGAAGCGAAGAACCTGCAGGCCCTGAGAACTGTCATCTAAAGGGGTTGACAGCCTGTGGTTTAGAGATCTACACCCTGGTAGCAGCTTTCTGTTGGCTGAATGGGTTTTCTTCCTGCACTGAGAACTTCAGCCCCGCCAGAAAAAAGTTTGCCCCACAAGCCACAAAATCCCAGCTATGGGCCTGTCCTGTAAATATGTTGGTCCCAGTCCACATAGGGCTTTCGATATCAAAACCGGAACCTTGAACTTGATCCAGAATTCACCTGGGAGCCAGTGCAGCTGGTGTAGCACCGGTTGTATATCGGCTCTTAATGGTGTTCCTGTAAGGACACGCGCCGTTGCATTCTGGACTGGCTGCAGCTTCCAAGTCAGTCTCCAGGGTCGCCCTGCGTAAAGTGAGTCACAGTAGTCCAGCATTCCCCTGGAATTCCAACCTGGTGGTGACCGTCGTGGGTGGAGAGGTAGGGGACCAGTTGCCTGACCTGCCGCAGGTGGGAAAATGCAGGTCTGGCAAGAGAGAGACATCTGAGGTCACGCACTGAACTCTTCACTGTAAGTGCAGATGTTAATGGGAGTTGTGAGCTGGATCCCTGACCCTGTTGCCCCACGACCCAGGTATGGGACCTCGCCTTCGTTGGATTGAATTTCTGTCGACTCTGCTTTAACCCTGCAGCCGCAGCATCCACACCCCTGGCCGTCCATCACCAGCTACAGCTGGGTGTCAACGGCATAAATAAAACATGATTAAAAAGCAATGATAAACCCCCATAACAGCGATGCTAAAAATTCCGATTAGGGCTGCCAATAAATAAAAGCTAGGTCAGTCCTATATAAAACTGTCTTCCGCTGACCTCCCGAAGATCGAAAGCGAGGAGGCCAGGCGCGCCTCCCAAGGGTTGACTGCTCCCTAATGGCGGGGCTGCCACCGAAAAGGCCGTGTGCCTCTTTAATTGGCGGGACAGTCGGGTGGGCCTCTCCTGGCGGTCTTCGTTCCCAGGCAGGAGAGGATAATCTTTTACCACCATCTTTCTTCTAGAAAACAACATCGTGGCCAAGGGAGGTTTAGTCTAGTTTGACAGGCTCTTCTCTGAGAAGTTCTTTTTGTGGGGAAGCATGAACACACAGACCCCCCCGGAACAGTACACCGAGGTGGTGGTGTCCGGGAAGAGGTTTACCATGTGGTTTTGCTGGATGTACGTCTCGTGCCTTTGGATCGTCTTGCTCGTGGTCACCTGGTGGAAAGGCCTTGTGCTGCTCACGATGCCCCGAGTGGAGGAGACAAGGGACCAAACTTCTGCCTGCCAAAGGAGCGAGTGCAGAGCCCTGGCACTAGTGGCCACCTACGGTCCGCGTGTCTCCAGTTCCGTATTCTGCCGTTGCTTCCGTTTCTCGTCTGTGCCGAAGGGCGCACACCTCGAACTGGAGGCCGCTCGCTGGAGCGTGGGCCTCTCCGCTTTCCTTCGGTCAGGTGGCCTCATGGAGCGTGCCAGGGCGAAAGCCGTGGGCTTGACGTGGGGCCTCGCTCCCGCCCGGCTCTTCCTCCGGTGAAACACCCCGGCCCCGTGCGCCGCCTGCGGGAGCATCCCGGGGCAGAGAGGCTGTGGCTTGAACTCCCCTTTTTCCCACCGAGGTCACCCTGGGGGTACCTGGCTCCCATCCTCTGTGGCCGTCCGTAGCCTTCCCCGTTCCCAGGCAGGCCGTGGGAAGTTGGCCCACGTGTGGGAAACTTATTTATAGCTCCACGCAAAGTTGCGCTCCCAGGCTGCTGCTCCCCAGCGGAGCCGGCCGAGAGGCTTCATACTTCCGCTAACACCCCCCCCCCCAATGACCCGGGAATGCCGTGTGGAGGGGGAAGCGGGGCCTGTGGATGGCAGAGACAGGCCAAGCGTCCTGGGGCAGGGCAGATGCCCCAAGAGAAGCAAACGCCCTCCATCTCCGCGTGAGTCTGTCCAGGGTGAGGCACTGGAACCCAGCAGACAGGGCTGCCAACCTCCAGGCGGGGCCAGGAGATCTCCCGGAATTACCACTGGTCCCCAGTTGACAAAGATCTGAAGCCTGCTGGGCAGCCTTGGGCCAGGCACCGTTCTCTCAGAACTCTCTCAGCCCCACTGACCTCACAAGATGGCTGCTGTGGGGAAAGGAAGTGGCAGCCATCACGGTGTGGTGGTTAAGAGTGGCAGAGTCTAATGTGGAGAACCTGGGTTTGATTCCCTACTCCACCGCCTGAAACCTGTGGGATGACCTTGGGTCAGTCCCAAGTGCTCTCAGAGCTGTTCTCAAAAAAGAGCAATTTCTCTCAGAGCTCTCTCGGTCCCGCCTCCCTCACAGGGGAGGGGAAGGGAAATGCTTTAGGCCAATCCTGCACTGGGCAGAAGGTTGGACTAGATGGTCCATATGGCCCCTTCCAACTCTGTGATTGTATGATTGTCAGTCACTCTGAGACTCCGAGTGAAGGGCGGGGTATAAATCCAATATCCCACGGATCTAGCCCCTGCTCCAGACGCCATCTAGACTGTGCCGGAGGGGGGGGGTGAGCTCTTGGCGTGGCAGGCAGCGGGGACGCTTGCCGAGGGTCCCAAACCTCTGTTCTCCGCATCTGGAACCTGGGCAGACTGGCCGTGCACGTGTGCTTGGGGGGGGGGTTACGTGGGAGGAGAGGGAGTGAGGTGCCCTGCCCTGCTGTGCGCCTGGGGTGTCAACAGCCAGCAAGGGGGGGGGGTGGCACACGTAGGAGGGGGGGTGTTGGTGCAGCCCGGCAGCGGAAATGAGCAAGGAGCCGGGAAGGAGGTGCTGGGGACACATCTGGAGGCAGTTGCGTTGGGAGCTCTCAGGCCCAGCGGCAGATTTGGAGGAAATGGCTGCGGGGCTGCTCCCCCCCCAACCTTTCCGCTGACTGGGCAGGCCCTCTCCTTTCCCGGGAAGGGGGCCTCCGCCTCCCCTCACCACTGCTCTCCGTTTCTGCTATTGGGACTCTTTCCAACCGTCTCTCCCCTTCCTGGAAAAGATTAATTTAAAAAAATATATGTTTCATTATACCCGTCTTTTCTCCCCAATGGCCGGCCTTCTTCTCCTCTCCTCCATTCTATCCTCACAACCACCCTGCAAGGCGGGCTGGGCGGAGACGGTGTCTGCAGTCCCAGGCCACCCTAAACCAGCAGCTGCTCTGGCACAGGATAGACCTTTGAAGGTGCCCCTCTAGTACTCTCAGTCTCTCTTCCACACGGGCTTCTTCTTCGTCTTCTTCTTCTTCCTCTCTCTCTCCCTCTGTCTGTCTCTCTCTCAGCTGAATCCAGACCTCCACGCAGGCCCTGGTTCCAGGGGCTCTGTCTGCTCCGAAGTCACCCCTGCCCTGGGCGGTGGCGTTCTCTCTGTCATTGTGCACCGTGTGGATGAGGGCTCCCTGGCTTCAGGAACGGGGTGTGGGGTTCACCGGGGAAGAGTCTGTGTTCGTGCATGGGAGTTTGCAGGGGGGCGCCTGGCTACTCCCGCAGGGTGTGCGGCCGGCCTCTCCCGCAGCCGTCTGCCCAAGGTGGGAGAGTGCCGCTTGCAGTGCGCCCTCTAAACTGTGGAGTCTTCTTGTGAGCAAAAATTCTACTTTGTGAGCTACTGGCATCAAAGTTGTGAGCGAGCCGTTTGGCTACTGCATAAATCGGCTTGCTCTGGAGCCACATCCTTCCTGGGCTGAGACAAAAATGTGTGAGCCAGAGGCTAAAGAACTGTGAGCTAGCTCACACTGACTCAGCTTAGAGGGAACACTGGCCACTTGCCCCCCTGGCCTCAGGAGTGGGGGCTCAGCGGGGGGGTGCATGGGGGGGAGCCAAATGCCTTCTGCTGGCAACAGCTGGACGCTGCCCCAGCTGGGGGGGGGGGTTTGCTAGTGTTGTGTAGTGGTTTCGACACATGAAAGATCACGGAGATGGTGTGATGCAAAGCATGGTTTTCTGGCCACAACACAAGCGAACAACAATGGGCCAGGTGGCCCACTATATACACTACCCAAAGGGACACCCCTAGGTACTGTTGGAGGGAAAAACTTCCCGCCGACGGTCCTATTGGTTCCCGAAGGAAGAGTCCGGGAGCCTAGTCCCTGTTGTTCATAGGACTCAAGCTCATGCACATAATCACTGTCGCCTGGTGGCGGTCAGCGGACAGGACAGCTAGGAACAGCTGCAGCGAAAGGGGCAGCAGGTCTTTCTCCCCTGACCCCCTCGCCCCAAGGGTGTGCTTCTCCCATTCCCCGGGGTGTGTGTGTGTTGGGGGGGGGGGGGAGCCTGTCTATTCAGAAGCAGGCACCAGTGTGTGTCTCCTGTTAGGATAACAACTGAAATGTGCGGAGCTGGGGTGTGTGTGTGTTCCCTCTAAGCTGAGTTAGTGTGAGCCAGCTCACAGTTTTTTAGCCTCTGGCTCACACATTTTTGTCTTAGCTCAGGAAAGAGGGCTCCAGAGCAAACTAGTTTATGCAGTAGTAGCCAAATCGCTCGCACCCAACTTTAATGCCAGTAGCTCATAAAGTAGATTTTTTGCTCACAGGACTCCACAGCTTAGAGGGAGCATTGGAGTGTGTGTGTGTGTGTGTGCGCGCCCACACACTGCTCTGGGACAGGGGGGAGGTGCAGAAGAAGAAGAAGAAGAGATTGGATTTATACCCCGCCCTTCACAACCCAAAGGTGTCTCAGAGCGGCTCACAAGCTCTTTTCACCTCCCCTCCCCACAACAGACACCCTGGGAGGAAGGTGGGGCCGAGAGAGCTCTTGACAGAAACTGCTCTCTTTCAAGGACATCTCTTATCAGAACTAGGGCTTGCCCAAGGTCATCCAGCCAGGTGCAAGTGGAGGAGGAGCGGGGAATCAAATCCGGTTCTCCCAGATTAGAGTCCACGCACTTAACCACTGCACCAAACTGGCTCTCCGCAGAAGAAAAAAGCCTCCGCAGAGCAAGGGGCTCTTTTTTATTTTATTTCTTTATTGCACCTATATCCCGCCCTATCCCATGATGCGCTCAGGGCGGCTCACCACAGAGACAAAACAAAGGAAGGTACGATAAGAACAGATTAAATAAAAAGAGGATGACAGTAAAGAAAAAAAATAACAGCGCTAAGAGTCCAGCGGGCACCTTAAAGACCAACAAAGTTTTATTCAAGGTCTGGGCTTTCGTGTGCCAGGCGTACTTCGTCAGACGAGGTGTGCATGCACACAAAAGCTCACACCTTGAATTTATTTATTCATTTTATCCAGTTTATATCCCACCCTCCCCGCCGAGACGGGCTCAGGGCGGCTCACGTAGAATTGCATAATAAATAGTCATAAACATAATACAATCATTTAAAATCCTCCTGAAGCCTTAGAATGTATTAATAAAACATTGGAACAGAGTTAACAAAAGTTGTTGGTCTGAAAGGTGCCCAATTGGACTCTCAACGCGGCTGCCCCACCTGGATCTAGCCAAAAATAACACCACTCCAGAGCAGGGGGCAAAGGAGGCCTCCCCATTGGGGGTGGGCGATGCGCTCTGCCCCCTGGAATGTGTGTGTGTGTGTGTGTTTTAAGCCCCCCCTAGGGGATTTTTTATTGCATTTTCTATAAACTACAAAGAAACAAGGGAAGGTATCTACAAACTATGGGTGAAAGAAAAGAAACCTACTAAAAACCCAAGAGATGGAGGTTATACAATGCTTAAACAAATTATCTTGACTTTTTTTACAAACAAAGTGTTCTTCAAATCTTTCGCTTGTGGTATCCAGTCCAGCAAATCCGACAACACAAAGAGTAATACAAAAGCTCAATTAATAAACCGCTTTAGCAAACAACGGAAAACATCAGCATCTCATATTAACCATCTCCTTCCCCCCAAAAAAAGCCTTATTTTTAGGAAATTAAAAAATCCCCCCATATAAAAGTCCAGTCCTCTTCAGTAGTGTGATTTCTATCTTATTTTCTCTTCCTTCGTTACAATCTTCTTCTACTTAATTTTCTACTCCCATTACCCAATGTTATTGCAGCATTGATGATAATCCAATTTTTAAGATTAGGTTTGTTTTTCTATTGTTGTTTCCTTCTAAACATTAACGTTTGTAGTCATCGTATCCTCTGGAGAATCTAATCACAGTCTCACCGGGCAGATCAATACTCGGATATGCCCATAGATCATATCCTCGCTATATAACCTGGAATGTGCTTGACGGGGGCCAAGGGAACTCAGGATTCTTCCTCTGCACAGAGCGGCCCTACCCTGGGAGCGGGGAGCGGTGCCTCCAGCGCCAGAGGGTGGGGGGGCTCTTCTAGGCTTCGCTGAGCACTCTGGAAAACAATCCTGTTCCCCTGCTGTTGGGCAGCCACATTGACAACTGACACCACCACCCCACCCCACCCCGTCACAGCCCCACAAAGGTGATGGATGGATCTGCCCGGTGTCCAGCCAGTCACCTGTGTCGAGGGCAGGGGGTGAGATGTCTTCAGTACCCGCCCCCCAAAGTGCAGTGTGGGGGGTGCCCTGTGGGCAGGGACTCCTTCACGGTTGACTTGGTCCTCTCTGCAGCAACAGCAGCAAATTCCCTTCCTCCCCACTGGGACATCTCTGCCTCCTGGGGCCCAGGCGTGGAGTGTGGGCCTGTGTTCGGGGCATATGGCCGGCACTTGGCACTCCTTGGGGGTGGAGAACCCTCCTTCCTTACCCGAGTTCAGGGTGCCTCATCCAAGGTCCGGCTGCCTCCTGGTCAGTGTTCCCTCCTAGCTGAGTCAGTGTGAGCTAGCTCACAGTTTTTTAGCCTCCGGCTCGCACGTTTTTGCCTTCGCTCAGGAAAGATGGCTCCAGAGCAAACTAATTTATGCTGTAGCCAAATCACTCACTCACTTTAGTGCCAGTAGCTCAGAAAGTAGAATTCTTGCTCACAGGACTCCACAGCTTAGAGGGAGCATTGCGAGTCCTGGTCAGTGCAAATGGCAGCAAAGTCTCCGTAACTGTAGCAGATTGCAAAGTTGGCAGATAACGGAGACAGACACTAGGGCAGCGTTGCCTGCTCAGCCATGCGGCCCCGCTCCTCTTTCTCAACGTGTGACTCGTCCCCTTCTCGGTCTCCTTTTTCCTTGGCAGTCTCACCTTCCTGGGAACCCAGGACTAGAAACAGGGGTACAATGGGGAGTTGCCCATTTAAACGATTGCCATGGGGGTGGGTTGGGGGTATTTGAGCGCATGGTCTGAGCCGGTGGTTCCTTCTTGAGCGTGAAGCTCTTCCCCCCCCCCCCGAGGTTTCCCCTCTTTGGGTAGCTCTTTGCCCCTTTTGAGCTGATCGCTGTCGCATGTCAGTGAAGCCTTCCCCGGAGGGGTAGCGGAAGCCTGCCTCTCCTCCTGCCCCCGGAATCCAGGCCACCGCAGAAAGGTGGGTGGGAGACTGCGGGGGGGGGGTTCCTCTTGGCACTGAGCTTTCCCGGCTGCGGGGGTC